CAATTAAGATTCGTTTAACGGAAGCTATTTTTACATAAAAATATGATTTCATATCTTCAAAACGAATCAAATATGAATAGTGTAGTTTTAAACATTTATGCTTATCATATTATTGTCTTAAGTCATATAACTAAACAATCATTTGGAGAAAAATGGTTTTAAAAATCACAGAATTCTGTCAAACAAAAACTTTAATAATGGCGGCTTAATGGTCGAGGCAAATTTATAGCCTTTAATCCAAAGGCTGATAACTCATTCTGCCTAACTTCACTTGATCAGATAGGTCAGTTAGTTAGTTACAATGTAGAAACTGGTACGCATGTACACCCGTCAATGTTCCTGTATCCCAATAACATAGAGAGATGAAATTGTCTGGCCAAATCCCAGAATAGTAGAGGTAGTAAGAGTAATGGTTGTAATATGAAAGATTAAGCATAAAAAATACGATCTGAGAAGAAAATATAAATTAGTGAAACAAAAGCTCAAAAAAGTTATGCGTAATTCAGAAGCTTAGAATCTGAGGAAAGGCAAAGAACTGATTCAGATGTGCAAATTGCAAACAATTTTGAGCTATCTCATTTAAAGTGTCTAACCATTAGTTACGATAATCACTCAGATCTCAACCAGGTAGTCTGCATCTCCTGACATAGCTAAGTCCAGTCGTCAGTGACTTCATGGACTGACGTCATGTTTTGGTATGGCCACCCCTAAGTTATTGACACCCCAATACTACCCTAGAACACATCACCCGACGAGGTAGGCGATGGATGAACATTTCTAACACATATTTCAAACTATTTTAGCATATTTATAATTAGAGTTAAAACTTTTTCAACTGATTGATTTAATGTAATTCATTTATGAAGTAAATATTTTATAAAATTCTTTTCAGGTCACATAGTGTTGATATGATGATTTCATAAGATACTACTATCAGGCCCACCCTACATTTCGATTGATTGACAATGAGAACATTAACATTCCCGATGACACAAGTAATGAATAGTGACAACAATAAATATTTGCCAATAAATATAGTATTGCACAACAGCAGAGTTACTTGTAAGTTGTTTTATTTGTATGAAATGGTTATAAATAGCAAACAAGAAAAAAGGAATAAACATCTAAATAAATAAACGTGATGAATAGATAATTTTTAAAAAGATGAACCAAGTTGAAAATGAATCAACAAATTCTTAGGTGTCTCTGTAAATCTTAACAGTCAGTCAGAAATTTTATTATATATTTCCACAGAATTTGTAACTAATCGATCTCCAATGTTCAATATATATATATATATATATATATATATATATATATACATTTTTAGGCATTTTTCGTTCACTTGGCTGGTAAACACTACAAAGAAGAGCATAGTTTTCACCGAGGACTTCATTTCAAGCTTTAACTTCCACTTTATTTGCCCTCCGCATGTGACAAGTTGTGATTCGCTACAGTTGCATATTCCTAGTAAACCTTTAGATAGATCAAGATGATTATAATAAAATCCCCAGTGGAAATCATACTTTTGTACACAGTATTCTCTCACTAAATGAACGCGAAACTGGTCAAAAGAGCTGGTATTGGACTTTTATTGAACACTGAAAAAGATGAATAACCTTGTACAACACGGTAAAATAACTAAAGAGATACCGATGTTATCGTTAATTTTGCTTTTCAACATAACTTTCCAAACTTTTCATAATCTAATTCACTTAACACGTTCTTTATCTTATTTATTCTTCGACAAGTTTAGTAATCCAATAATTTTTGACATATATCGTATTTACTGTCAAGAAGATTTATGGAGTGATCTTTTTATATGGAACAAAGTTGTATTTACTTACTGATACATTTCATTGAATATTCAGGATAGCATCCTGAAGTGAGTAAAGAAATTTTGATGAATCTCTCATGGAATTCTAACAATAGTCAAAAGTTAAAAGAATCAAGTTCTTGTTGATCATTACTAAATTTTAGCTGATTTTTGAATGCAAAACACCTAACAATAAATGAACAATGCAGTAGTAGGTTAGTGGTTAAATTACTATTTAAACAGTCACCGTACTACATATCTCAGTCTGAGAAGACCGAGTAGTATAAGTAATTTTCATTTAAACAATATACTTTAAATCCAGTTACATAAGCTTCTATTTAGTGAATGAGTTTGGTTAGTCATTAACTCAAAAAATAGTTGTTTCATTCGAAGCACATCAGATTTATTTCATTCATTGAAGACTATCTATATTAACTAAACTATTTATCAAATGAATTGTGGATCTAACTGTAACAATTGAATAAATAGTGCAAACATAACCAATCTTGTTCATTTGATGAATGATAGTTACCAAATACAGAGTGATAGCAACTGAAGATGACTAATTAATCAATTAATTTAACTGCTGCCAGACGTAATTAATGATCAAACTACAAGTTTATAGATTTTTAGTTTCAAAGACTATTGCCCATGGAGAAAAAGCTATCACTTCAAATATATTACTTAGAAAATTACTTTCTGCCTAGAAAATAAATTTCAAAAACAGCTCTATTACCCATTCGACTAATAAATTTATGCACCTTTAGATTATGGTTAATAGTTGAATCGAGGATGTAAGTTTTCTCCCATTCTGAGCATGTCAACTGGTGTACTGACAGCCTAGTACTGATGTTCACTCTGAGATCCGGACTCAGTATACTTATCATATCAAAGTAAATGAGTTATCCAAACATAATGAAACTTGTAACAAAAAGAGGTATTAACAAAACATTCTCTCAGGATGTACATATGACAGAATCCGGCCTCGAGTATAGACAATGGTATAAATAAATAAAAAAGATAATCACTGTTGTTTTGAATATAGTGTGAAGTTGTTGGTAGAAAGCACTTTTTATAACCAACATTTCGTTAAAACTATTACCAATAAATTTTCATTATTGTAGTAGTCATGTTTTAAATGTTTCGTTCTATTTCAGATTAATCATCTGGATGTACCTTAACTCATAATTGAACATGTTAGTGGTTGTTGGGATTAAATAGTTTACTAACTAAACTATTTTTTACTGGAAGTGATTGGTACTAGATTCACAAGATAGTGTGAAAAATAAAATTCTGATACTAATAAGTTCCAGACAGAAAGGAACATGCTTCGTACGCTCCTCTGCTACAAACGATTTGTTTTACTATGTTTACAATTTAAATTGCATAATTTAGATCAAACGATAACCTCATTTAAGACTAAGTAATTCCTTTCAAGTAAGATACATCTATAACGTACCGTAGATTGTTGCCGAAAATACATATGTATGTACTCTGACTTGACTGAATTTAAGGTAAATGAAATAATCACTTCTGATGATTTTAAAAATGACTCCATCAAGTACCTTTTATCCAAAGCAGCCTACTTTGTTCTATATACTAAGGCTAAATATATTGATTTCTTTCAACATTGAATGATTAACTTAATTCACTTACGAAATTAAAATCATTTGGTTATTCTATAATGGATTTATTAAATGATCATTCTAAAGCTCGTACAAATTACTGCTTCAGTTGACATTTGATAAATAATTGAAAATTACACTAAAAATTGTCATTATTTTAATGATACTGTTTTACACGGAAATCATTAATCGTGAATAATTACATTGCAGTCAGATTAAGTCAATTTAAACTGTACGTGATTCAGCTATACTTTGAACAATAAATAAATGTGAATAAGAATCGGAGCGTTTCATAGTATGATTACTTATTTCTTTATTTCCTTTACATGTAAATATTTATTTCCTATGTAAAGTAATACATGGAATTCTGATACAATTTTTCAATTCATATACAATGACTAATTTCGTTGAACAATTGATTTTAATAGTCACGTGTCTACAATACAAACTGGTCTCGTTTATATTGTTTATGTCGCATAAATAATCATTTAGACCCTGGTAATGTGAACAAAATTTATACTTATTATCTATGCATAATTCTAATATAGATTTCAATGGAAAACGTTTATTAGGTTGATTGTAATTTGAATTCAAAGTATTAAAAAACGCTAATCTACTTAAACTTCAGAAGTTCTGCTAAATACTTTATAAGTTTGGCAACACACTATTTGTAAGTACGTAAAGATACCGTCAACGAATAAAAGCGAACAAAACAGGATACAACTCTGTGATCTGATAGTTGATGCTTAATCAATCAAACTACTTCAACCTACCACATGTTCGCTTTTACAATCTTACAAAAGGAACAGGTTGAAGATTATCGATCATAGATAACGGACAACAAAACATAAGGTAAAAAAACATGAATACATACACACCATCATCTCTCAACTCTACGTTCATTTAAAGAGGCTTAACTACCAAGTAATTAGCACAACCTGTAAAATGAATGCCTAACATGTGGTCTTAATCATATAACACTGATCATATGCCTTCAATTTCCTTCTGAACTATATACTATTTCCCCGTTGTAGAATTACCGAATTTGGTAAAAAGCCTGCGCGATATCATCTAACACTTATAGCCGAAATATTTTGTTGTTTGGATATTAAAACATCAATCAAAATACTTCAAACCAATAACATTTCAACAACAATATCAGTACTCATGCTTCTATTATTAAACAAAAAACTCTGCGCTATTTCCAACCAGCTTATTTTGACTAAGGGCTCAGTCTGCGTTATTCTAATGGGTGGTGTTACCTAACCATCCACGCACGAAAATAAATTTCGACTAAAACACTAGTAAAACTGAAATACATGTGATCTGAATTCAAACTTAAATAATAGAACGAAACAACGAATATACACTTGTTCACGGAAGAGAAACCCACAGATAACGTATACTTTAGTAAACTCGTTAGCCTATAGTAGTGTTAACGGATATACCTCAGAGTTATTCAACATAACGTGAAAACGCATTGAGTGAGTGACAATGAAATCATAAATGACAACTAATTTCCCATAGCATATAACGCATGTTTGAAAAAACAAATAGTTAAACAATAAATAATATTCATGTACAAAATCACCGAATACATAGTTAGGTATAACATATAATATGTTATAATATAATGTTATTTCATAATTAACTGCAGTAATAATAGTAGAAAAAAGAGAAAATATTAAATTCTTTGGAATGTAAGCATAGAAGTAATGAATGTAGAACATAAACACTACTAACTCAAAGGAGAACCATCTACCCAAGTTTGAAATCTCACCGGGGGCAATGACTGGGAACAATCGGTCCTTGGATTGTCTTGACTATCTAGAAATCTTCGGAGCATTGGGGGAGTGGAAGAATTAGACTGGTCTTCTGCGTTGGGCTGGTCATCATTAATACGGCATGCGTTAAATCGTGAACAAAGGTTAGCACTAGTTTTTCCGGAACAATTTTGAACAGCATCAAAACTCTCTGAGAATAATGATGGAAAATTCATTTCATTGGATTGATAAGAAAAATTGCCTGGCTGAGAGAATATCCCACTCGATGAATTAGGTGATTGATTCAAATGGAATCTATGGGGTTTCAAGCCATTTTGAGCAATAAACACAGGATCACTGGATCGAAATAAGATATTTGACACACAATCACTAGATGACGTGCTGTTGGAGTCATCAGGTTGTCTATTACCAGCAGGGTGTCTTTTCCTCCGACCTGGAGGAGGCCAAAATCCCTCATCTTCGGATGAAGAACTCCAATTACTGAAGAATGACATGTGAACTAATCTAATCTATTCCAGGGTAGTCTATGCAATTTGTGAAATAAGTCCCAACCACTACATTCTCGCTTTTATTGCTTTCGTGGCGTGATTAAATGTCATTCGAACGTGCTATTCGTGTTACTGTGTGCCTTGAGATATGTATGTTCTTACCATTCTGTGTTTGCTTGTCTAACGATGAATTTACCCCCCTCCGAACTAACTGCCAATGAAAATCAAGCAATATTGTGCGTCAGATTTTTTAGCTCATCAATACCAAGGTCACACGTGACAAATCATGTGATCATAGTAGGTTAGACATTTAAACCAATCAAAACAAATATATGTATACTGTCGCTAAGCCGTGGTTGGTTCATCTAAGAAAATGAATTTAAAGCGCCTTCTCTACCATTTGCTAGGATGACATTGTAACATTATTTATGCTAATGAAAGTCGTGCAGTGGTCTTGTTGAAAAGGCCTCAAATTTGGTGCACGTTCATGTTATTTAGCGTAATTAATCATGCCATTCAGTACCATATTCAATGAAATTGTTTCTTCTAAGCGCACATAAGTATCTTTTGTCTCATAGATTATTTAAACATGCCTCATTAGTATTATATTTCCCTTCACTTGATAACGAATTATGTATGAAACTCTGCAACACCTAGAATTTACAGCAGTGCGCTTCAACAACCCCGCGCACGGAACTCAAACCCAGGACCTTCGGTCTCGCGCGCAAACGCCTAACCTCTAAGCTACTAGGCCTTCATGCAATGGTGTTAATGTTAACTTCCAGCAATCCATGTGACCAGCGGAGTTCAACCGTGTCGGGTGTGAAGCAGTTACCTACAGAAGAAAATGGGAGATGGTCGCACAATATCGTGGATTGGTTGAAGTCAGACATTAGCATCGTTGAATCCCAGCTCAGTGGTCTAGAGATTAAACGTTCTGGTTTCGAGTTCCCCGTGTGGGGTCGTGGATGCGCACAGCTGAGTAGTCGCATGCTAGTACGAAACGGCCATCCAGTGCTTCCGGGTTTCAATGGTGCTTTGACACTAGTCAGTTCATGATCTAATTAAAATTGTCTTTTTCATAGGCAAATGCGCGGAGTATAGCTTCATACTTACCGTCTCTTGTCAGAAGAAAGTACCAAAAGTCTTGGAAAAGCCAATTCACCTTCTGATATTTGAATTATCACCATTTACGAAAGCAGTTACTGATGTAAACCCTGAGTTATCCAGACAAACCGACCCTCCTCGGGTTCACAACTGATTTTGTTTTAATTACCTTAATTAAATTAGGAAATACAGTGAGCTTTGATGTTACGGACTAAGATTGTCGTTGCTGAAATTGAATGTTTTATCTTAAATAATATACAAGCCGGAAGCTGTTGAAAGTATCCCATAAAAAAACTCTTTTTCCCTAATAGATGGACATTTCAGTTGTAGAGCTTAAGTTTACAGAAAGAATACCTAGCAAGCATGTATAGAGGGTTTTTGTTTACCAATCAAATCTTCGAAGCAAAGATTTAAAGAATAAATAGAAACAGATATATATCTAACACACATACACAAACAAAAAGACTTACTGACATACATAAACAGAAAGGCGTTGGGTGATCAATAAGGTAATGCAGACTAAGATATAATGACCTTCACCCTAATTGACCATAATATAGCGTGATCCGGATGATGACATATTCCGTCAGTGATCTGATGAAATAATTTCTAGACCCTATTAAATTACATAGAATTTTAAAAGAAAATAAAAATTAATGAATCTACCAGATAAATAAACCATTGAATATGCTTATAAATAACTTAACACCATTGAAATATCCTACCAGTAGATGATCGCTACTTTTAAACTAGACAAGATATTTTATATTGGAAAATACAATGGTAGATGTGAAATGAATGGAACTCATCATCCAAATTAATTTGAAATGAACAATTTGTGAGGGGGCATATTGATTAAATTATCCAGCCCAGGTTGCTAAGATATGAATAGGGCTTTAACAAGTTCGTCAATATATATATATATATATATATATATATATATAATTTCTAGAAAGACTTCCATTGCAACATTACAGAAAATGTAAATGAACGAAGATTAATTCTAGAACATAGACTGGATAACCTTTTTGAACTATAAGCGACAATTGTAAGCAAAGATGGATAGTAACTAGCAGTTGAATTCGTCGTATTTATCACTCGTCAGCTGGATGTGCTGAGTTGATGTTCACTCTGGGACTCGAACTCAGTACCATTCGTTTCAAACGCATTCGCGCTAACACTCTGCTACTAGGACGAAACGCGCGTCCTGGATTCCACTGCTAGTCACTATCCATCTTTGCTTACAATGCTTGTGAATTAAGGCTATATCGAGGCAATACGCACAGTATGTACATATGCCAATTAGGGACTGATCAGTTGCAGCCCTAAAACATCTATGGGAAGATTCAAACAAACAATACTAAATGAATATAAGCAACAATATTCGGTAAAACAGTTAGTGGATATTTGATCGGTCTGAAAGTTATTTTCAACTGAATAAATATTAGAACACTAGAATGCTATTATCATACAAGTTTTAAGTATTCAACAATGTTCGCTTTTGATATTGCATCAAACCAAATTCAAGAATTTCAGAATTCACGCTTACCGAGGTGTCCTTTTGTAAAAGTCAGAAAGTTATGGCCAACTTTCACTAAATATCTGTTGATTGGTCTCATTGCTCTATTTGTCATACAATGTTAACACAGTTTAAGAATATGACAGAGGAACAATCTAGCAGTTCAACACTGATTTTCACCGTTTATTCAATTTAAGTCAGTCTGTAAAAAAAAATTAACTGGAAAGCGTACTCAAGTCTTAAATGAAAACTAATTATGTTATCATCAACACAGAAAATCATTTATATATCACGAAAAATTCAAGTTCAACCAAAACCACTCGAATATTTATGGGGTCAAAGTATTTTTTACTAGGTCTTAAATTGAAAATATTTCATTTGCGTCATGTAAAAGTACAGTTTATAGTTTGAAGACACATGATGCTATTGTGAATATTAACTAAGGTCTATTTTGACATAGTGATAAGACATTGTAGTGCAATGCTTCGCTAATCTTTCACCTCGATAACCGTGATAACACAAACCTTAACGGTGCATGAAAACTGAAGGTAAAGAGAAGCAGCAACTACTGTTTATTATCAAATGACGCAGGCCACAAAACTACAAGCACATGAGCAAAGATCAGCGGGTAAGCGAAAATAATGCACATTGGAGATCGCGGGTAAACCAACTCGCTTTAGTCAAAAGTCAATCAATATTTATAGTTAGATAAAAATAAGTTACAGACTGTGATGAATTGGATAAGAAGTGTACACACATACGCTCATATAAAAAAATAGTCAGGTTTAATAAGTGAATAATTAACAAGGTCAAAACATGACTCAAGATGGATAGTTAAATTGGCTTGTTCAGAAGCTAGAATAAAGTATATGGGCTTAACATATCAACCGACACTACTACATTAAAAAAACTTCTATAGACGGCGGAAAGGGATCTCAGATTCTATTATCAAACCTATGACGATCTGAACGACAGCTGTTTTATTGATTTTTATGGTTCACATCATTGATTGACCGTATTGATACAACTATTGCGAGCCATTAAATACTGGACGGATTTTTCGTCTTAGTATAGAACTCCTCAGTAGTGTGTATCCACGACTAAAACTGGTCTCTAACATAAAGTCTTCAGCCTTAACGGTGAGAGTTTTGAATTGAGACCACTGAACAATCATACATTGGTTTACACATCTAACTTCAATGGATTCGTAATATCTAGATGGTGCGTAACTACCTCAAAAGTGACCTAAATGAACGGTGCTAGTTACGACTTACCAGAACTCTGGGAACAGATCTAACTGTAAGATATTTACGTGACTTCAACTGCAGAACTCAAATTCAACTGAAAAATTTAAGAGGTTGTATTTCAAGCAACTTTTCTGTATGATATATAGGGAATTTGCAAAATATGACCAATTTAGTTTACTTCTATACATTAATTTATATAGGAGAAATTCATCAAAAGACCATTAAAGGTTTATGATAAAAGTTCCAATTCATTTTTTATTAATCACATGAGTCAAATGAGAATGTAAATCATAATAATAAAATATAATGGATTTCATAAAACCAATAAATAATCAAGGTCTACCGAAAATTATTTAAACTATGTGGAAAAGTGACAGAGTTTAAATTGACAGATAAAAATATTGTGAATCGTTATTTTATTTAATGCCAAATCACTAGAAAGCCTTGGAAATAGGTTTTTGTGATAGTTAACATTCTTAAACAAAGGATATCTGCAGGCTTGAAATAATTGATACTTCCAGTGGTGCTCGAACTAGAGTCACTTGATGTCATCATCAGGTATATGGATGTTAGTGGAGTCACTCTATTCGATTTCTTTTTGTTCAGTAGACTAAAGAAGACAAAAATATTATTGAAATGAAAATTTCAATACATTTATTAATGAAATTTGTACATATTGATTTTTCTGTTTAACATTTTTTAGCATGGTTCTTTTTTGTGAGATGGGGTTGCTAACCTCTTGTGCAATTCTTCTTCTTTACTCAGGCTTGGTATTAACAGTAGCCTTAGAACGTCTTCAGGCCGAGTTTATGTATAATGAGTATACTGATAATATTACTGTTAAGATCTATGGAAAATCGCATAAACGTTTGGTTAGCTACTACATTTTTAACAGGATATTAGTAAAGAAAATAAAGCGATTCATTTTCGCAAATGAAAGTAAGGTAGACGATAACTGTAGATATGATTGTAATGAGTGAAATCGTATGCATCTGGTATACAGCGTTAAAATAGTTCACTAATTTTCAATGAAAGTAAATAATTGTGTTGTCGGTTGTATAAGTCGATGAATAAAGTTATCTCTATCAATATTTGCACCAGATTTGAAAAATGTCCAAACTGAACCACTGAACTCTGACTTGTGACGTAGTTCAATGTTTTTTAACCTGTAACCGAGTATATCATACCAGATTGTTGTTCATTCAATGGTATATTGTGTTACTTAGAGGACTGAAACATTTTATACTGAAATACTGTCACCTGAAGCAGAGAAAATTCAAGGAAATAAAACCAAAAATCTACTCTAATCCACAGGAAATGTTCAATCATAAACA